TTTAGCTACAAATCCATCCAACAACTAAAAAAAGTTGTATTAAATATACAGTTTTTTTATTCACTATACTGACATATATCAGTTAACGTTAGCTCTGATAACGAGGATTCAATATAACGAAATACGTATTTTGTTATCATACAGTAATATTCCAATTTAAGCCTTCTATTTGACTTTTTTGGAAAAAAAAAAACTACACCATGAAAAAAGCAATTGAATGTATTGATAGTTTTTGGAAAGAAGTCACTAAAAAATATACCCAAAAGTTGTAATAGAACTTTTGCGGCTCCGGAGCTTCTTTTTATGAGCTCGCAGGTTATGACAACACTTAATTTAAATATTAAAAATAGCGACTGTAATGCTATGAGCGGCTCCCTAGATACGCAATATGTTAAAAAATGGCTCTTTACTACAAATAGGATGACTATCCCTGCAGTAAAAGAAAATGTAATTTTCATTTACTAAGATTTACATATCTTCATTGATAAAACAATTTTCATTTAGTTTACAATATACAAGAACTTGTGTAGTCTGCATTGGACATGTGAATTAAAAACAAACTCTGGATTCCCGCCAGAACCTGCAAAAACAACAAACTAATGACTTCTTAATTTGTAGCGAACTTAGTCTGAAACTTTGTTTACGAAATTATTTTAAACCGGTTTTCAACTAACTGAAAACTCTTCCTCTGATTACAGTGTGTTTTGAAGTTACTTACATCCACAAATAATTAGAACATTCTCGTTTAATTCAAAACTAGTTTTGAACACCAAAAAAAAAACTAAATTGGGAAAAAATAATAATTATGTTTTGAATTAAAATAAATTATAACTTTATAAATAAATGACTATTGATATTAGTAGAAGAAGGGATTGGTAGAAATAATAAATAATGTTATTTATGTTCTTTTCAACTTGGAAGTATTAAAGGACTATTAGCTATTAAAATAATTGCATCAATTGCAATGTACATGCTAAAAAATAAACATGTAATCAGTCTGAGTGCATCTTGACTTTTCATGTCTCCTTTGAAATTATTTGCAAAGGATAATTGCACTTTCTCAGTTAAGAATACTCCTATTTGTAGGATTCTGTTTGGGTTTGATAGAGTTTTGGGGTTTGTTCTGACTGACACTCAATGCAATTTCCTTAAAGCACCAAAGTTTGAGTGTGCAATACAAACAGTCCATCGTTTATTCACGCCGGTTGTACAACTTACTGATGTCCCGAGGCAACCTTAATTGAATTTAAAATGCAATTTCATTTTTCTGCCCAGAAATATTCTTCCAACATGTTGCGCTATACTGCTTAGTTGCATATTATATATAGACAGTATATAGTATTTTTTTTATCTTGCAGTTAGTTACTTGTTTGAAGGCTATAAGTAGATTATACATTCTGAGGATAACACATTATTTTATAAAAACCTTTCGTTTAAACAAATTACTACAATTTACGAGATTTTTTTTTAAATGTACATTTTGTACAATAACTTTTTTGGTGATTTTTCCGGTATTGTCCGTAAAAAAAATCCCACGAAATTAGCTTCAATTTGTACAATTACATTTTCTTTATTTATAAATGAAGACCCTTTGTGAGCCCTCTCATTGCTTGATGCAATAGGGCCATCGTTCATCACCGATGGACAGTCAAATGAATGAGGTTCAGCATATGGACCTTCAGCCAAGTCGATGGACAATAACAGTGTTAAGGATAGCAGCAGATTCACAGTCAAAGAAAATAGTGGAATCATAATGGTAACTATCCACCGGGAAAGATTATCCATTTAATGTCAACTGCGATCTTAAATTTACTCAATGTTCACATTGATGAACAGATTGTGAATAAAAATTATACGACAAAAATAAATAAAAAAAATAAAAGAATTAAATATATTAATTAAACACTGTATGTTTATTTTGATAAAAAACTTAATGTAGTAATACAAAGTATTATCCCCAATGGGATTTCCTCAGAATTTCCCGGTAACATAAATCCCGTTTATTAGCTTCTTCTTGTATATTTATATTTTTAATCTTTATAGATTATAAATAAATCAAAAAATAATTTTCTGGGCAGAAAGCCATACGGTCAATAGCCGTTTGTAACAGATCAATTTGTTTTTTTGATCTGTTACAATAAATGTTATTGTTAATAATTTTCTATATTTCACTGCAAAATCTTGATTTTAAAAATTAACTATTAACTATTTAATGTTATTATATTACAATCAAACTTTACTCTTACAGATCCATTATAAAACCTATAAAGTATATTCACGCAATTTCGCGGGATCATAAATCTCGAGGAATTATCTGTTATACTAAATGCAGCTACATTTTTTCTTGTTTATAGATGATTATATATGAATAACACAAATTGTACATTTCGTTGCAATTCTTTTATTCTAAAAATGAATAACCACTAACACAGATAATTAAATATATTAATTAAACATTGTATGTTTATTTTTTATTACATACAAACTTCATGATTTTTTTCCTATAGTTTTATTATATAACCTAGAAGATTTCGGAATTTCCCGGGAACCAAACTGCAATAAATTAGTTGCTTTTTATAATCCCGACTTCCGGGATTCACTTTTTATTAAACGGGACAAAACTGATGAATATGACAGGAATGATTATGAACGGAATATTTACAACGAGAATACTAAAAAATCTATCACATTTATGTTTTTAAAATCTTATTTTTAAAATCAATAAATGAGAATTATATTGAGTACAATATTTTATATCTAATATGTCTAATCACTACTGTGTATCAATAAGTCTTATGGAAAGTTTCCACGAACATCAAACAAGACTATCGGCACTTGCAATATCTGCATAGGGCAATAAAACCCTTTTGGAGAAACTCTTGGGTTTCTCATACTTAACTAGTTTTTACAACCCATTTATGCAATTTTCTTAAAAGGGAGGTTTGTTACAAGTTGGTCAGTTAACTATAAAGACTATGCCACCCACAATTAACCTCAATTGTAAGATTTCTCACCCTTTGGACCATACCGACAGCGGCGACTTTGATGTACATCCGCCGGCGCCTTTGACGTTCACCCCTACATGACAAATTAGCCCCTACCCTTAGAATATTATTTTGTATTCGGTACGTCCTCTTTCATATAAGACGTAATTTAAAATTAGTCCTAGTTAGTCCGAGACTCATGTTAGTTAATAAGAGTCCTAGTCCGAGTTAGTCCTAGTAATATTTCTAGTCAATATTTCTCTTGAACAGCAACCTATGCGTGTTCAGTACACTGTTTAGTCAAGACTCTTCCATAAAATCCACTAGGACTCCACATCGACAATACTACGATAACTATTTCACAGTGTCCAGAAATATTCCATCCCGGGACACGACACTACATTTATTTTGTGGGTTTCTTACTAGTTCAAGTTTCTTCAAGTTGCGGCAAGATTTATATATAATATGAGAAACCAGTGAACCGATTTTGATTTATAAATTTTCAAATCGAAGCTGAACATATGTGATCCAAACAATAACAAAATGTATATATAGAAAACTATAATACCTTGTAATAATATACAAACAATAAAAGAAAAGTTCAGATTTAGCTTTAATTTCAATTTTTACCCTTAATATCCCGGTATGTTAAAAAGTAGACAAATCGACGAACAAAAAATGAATATTTTGTACATAAAAAAGGGAAGAAAACAAAAGGTTATTTATGTAGAGAATTATGTCTTTCTTTATAGAAGAGATTTTTTTTTGTGTTTTATTCTATATTTATTAACTATCTATTTGATTTAAATAAATTTAGTTAAAATATTATAGAAATGAAAATAAGTAAATCAATGCCGAAAATATGTGTACTTTGAACAAATTTGATTTCAGCAATAAAATAAAAATATTATTTTTTTTATATATTAAATAGTCCAAGTATTTATTACCAATTCGATTTAAACATGATGATTTTATCAAATTTACTTCAAAGAGGCAACTTTCATTCACAGATATGATCCAAATACATTATCAGATATACATTATAAATCAGATATTATATATACATTGTCAGATCCTATATTCATATCTAATGAAGATTAAATTATATTTCTAAAAGTTATGAAAATATTTATTTTTTATCAATTATTTTTCAATTTATTTCCGATATTTTTGTAGTGTCTTATTTAATATCTATTCCATTTAAAAAAAAACTCAGTAAATTAATTTCTAAGCTATTTTTTTTTGTATGGTCTATTAATAAATTTAGTTAAAATTTTATTGAATTAAAAAGTAGCAAATCTAAGCTGAATACTGCTTTTTTCAATGATTTAATATGTTTATATTTATATAATAAATAGTCCAATAATTTATGACCAATTAAATTTCAACTTGATGATTTTATCAAATTTTCTACAGTCAACTTTCATTCACAGTTTATGATCCAAATATTTACATTATATAAGTTATAAATCTAAAAGTTATGAAAATATTTATGTTTCTTTTAAATTTAAGTGCAATAAGTTATTTTTGTATTGTTGTCACTGAAAAATGCTGCAGACTTTAAAGTAGTTTACAATTACACCAATTATTTTTCAATTTATTTCCGTCTAAATCTTTTGACCTTTGACCGTATAATCCACGAACCAAAATTAGTAAGTGCCATCACAGCTTGTAGCATTATTATTCACAAAAGGAAACGACAATCTCACCGAGACTTTGAATCAATTAAGCAGAAATCCTGAATGCAAACTACATCCTAAATCGTACGAATACATCACTGAGACAAACATATGCACTTGATGTGACAGGAATATCAGATCACGGATATTATTAACCAGAACAATATTGACCCAATGAGCACATACATTAATTAATAATTTCAATTAAATCCACCACTACGAATCTATTTACGAGGTTTTAATTAAAACGCAATTAATTGCATTTTCAAGGCCAAAAAGAATATGCAATCACTGTATTTTTTTAAATTTTTTTTACTAAGTATTACTGAAATATTACTTTTATAGATCGCTGCTGCTGTTTGTACGTATCTTCTTTCAGATTTTTCTTTTTCAGTGTTTTGGATGCGACCGACGCGCACAAACTGAATGCTGAAATATTTCGGTAGCCGGGAAGGAAATCGCGCGTGGCGGCGCATGCCGGTTTGCATTCCCTTTTCAGGATGCCCTAACTGGTATTAATTATCGCAATGATTGGAAGATCGAAGTGTTCCTGACACGCTGAGCCTCGATCAATCATGTTCGATGTTTCCAACTCGACGATCCGTTTCCGCTTTCATTCAACATTAAAAAAATACTATCCACAACTCAATTATTATTCCAATTTGGAACTTTTTGTATTAATCTATATATATATAGAGAGAGCACTGTCGGATTAAAGATATATGTTAAATTTAGAACCAGATTCCATATTTGCCAAATTGAGATTGGCAAACAATAGTTTTTTCCCGAGATTTTTTTTTAAATTCCCGAGCGGGAATTCCCGGTTATCTAATTCTTGTTATGTGTACTGTTGTTTGAATCATACAATGCTTTGGATTTCATTTGCACTAATAATGTAGCTCAGTTCAATAATCAGTTGGCTTTATCCATTAAACAATTATCATAGACTGTTATGACTATTGCTCCGATCCGAGGAATATTTTGGCTCCCATTTATGTTGATTATGTACCATAAATTTGCATAATAAGTTCATTATAATCAGTAAACAATAGTCATTAACCATTTGTAAAGTGGATACATAATAATACTGTTTTGTTCATCATTGTAAGAACTTCTAGAACCAAAATTTATTTTGCTCAATTAAAATATTGTTTGTTTTGTAACTTTAAAAACTGATTATCGCCTTATGCGAGGTATTGATGTATTTTTCATTTCATCGTTCACAAATTTTAATTGATTAACAAATAATAATAATTATTATTATGTCAGGTATCAGCTAAATTTGGTTATTACCATTCAATCACTATACTGCTATGGGCTGTACATGCACTGATTATAAGCTTACGGTTTGTTAATCTGTGCTTGTCAGCTAGTTACACAAAATATTGTTAGATAATATCTCTATTACTCACTGAATAATGCATTATTAAATTACACATAATGAAATGTGTTTGCTTTATAATATATTTGAAAGACCTACGCATCAAAATTGTTGATCGATCAGTTTCGGTTAAAATAAAAGGTTTCCAATCTGGAAAAGCACAAGTTTATAATATTTTTGGGAAGGTTCGACTAGAATATGCCTTACGACTGAAAAATATAACGGTTTTAAGGTTATTTTGACCCATCGTGGTAGGTTTAGATATGCATGCAATGTCGGTACCTTTAGTTTAAAATTGCTGTGAAAGTATAATACGTTTTATACTCTTACTCGTAACCCAGAACACTCGTTAACTAAAGCAATATGATAATCGTTCCATGTCGAAATAAATACTCAAGAAAATTGATGTTTATTCAAATGTATACATTTACCGATTATGTACTTTTACCATAAGTTTGTAATCCTATATGAAGATTAACCGACGTCATTAGGTAAATGTATGCATTTTCCGGAAATGTTGGATAAATGTAAGTTGAACCTAAATTTACCGACCAAGCCCGTAAATGTATACATTTACCGATTATGTACTTTTACATTAACATATACATTATTAAAGTGTTTGAATCATCTGTATATTTTCTTCTATCGCGGAATGAACCAGCCTAGAATTCGATTTGGAGAAATTAAAAAATCGAAATAATTAGTTTATTATTTATTATACATACCTAATACATTTTAATAATTTTTTAATTTTCGTATTTTTACAACTTTGCGCAGGAAAAATCGAAAGTGAGTCATTTTTGTTATAATTTATTTTGATCGTTATGTGAGGTGCTTGTTAAGCGAGTTTCCACTGTATTTTCTATAGAAGTTCGAAACATCATCGTAATTTAAGTGTAAAACGGAAGTTTAACTCGAGTCTCAAAAGTGCCGTGAAAGAAAAATGAACACTAACGTAGATTCTTCAAATAAGAAAAAGTACAAAAACTACATAATTTGAGTAGTTATCCAATTTGCTTCTGCGAATGATGAATAGTATCAAGCGACGGAAATGTGAATATCATATTACTTCGCAATGAATGGCGGCACTACAGAAACTAATTTAGTCTGTAGGACGTAGTTTAATTGAAAACCGTTTTGCAGGTTTCCACAAAAATACACTTTTCTTTCACGCAGAAACCTAACCAAATTTACATCTCCATTTTATATTATTTTGTCACACAATATTACAACATACTCTGCCAATATGGGCGATAGTTTGAAATCCTTTGTACTCCGGTTAGCTGCTGGCGTGTTCTTCTAATTAGAAGCAAGGCTAATTAAGGCGATTCTCAAAGCAACCACAAACTGTCGTTATTGTATGAGGGAGAATGTGCCGTGTTTCAAAGTGGATCGGATGGATGAGGACGAAAACAAAAGCTTGAACGAAGTTGAATTGGATAACAAAACCTGTTTTTTTAAATTTTATTTTGCATGTTTCGTTCCACGAAAAATTTATGTATAACTGTCCTATTATTTCTAGAAACTTTTAATTCCTTCCTACCAGATCGTTTTTTTTAGCGCAGTCTAAATTCTCGTAAACTTTATTTAATGCCTTTAGTTAATGTGAATTATTTTTGCATTGCAAATTAGTTTCCATCTAAAATTACGAGTTTGTAGGATTTATGTTTCATTTTACTTTTCTTCAATTATCATGAATGTATCAACAGAGTGCAGTTTAACATATTCATTTTAAATAAGATTTAAAGTTTTTGCCTCAACATCGTCTTACACGTTAATACAATAAAGATGATCTCTTTACTGTGAATATGACATTTGCATTTGCTGCTTATTTATTTAATAGTTATACTCCATCTCCGAGGAACCGCGTGAATAACTTATGAAGTTATTTCACTTTATTGCGAAACTTTCGCGACAAATGGAAGATGACTCTTGTTTATTCTATCTACATTGGTCGTCTGTATACAATACGCGCGAAGTTTTCAGTAATTTCGATTGTAATATGCATACATTTTAGCAAAGTATTTGCACATGCTGCAACTAACTGTATATAGTCACTTATAATACTAATTTAGTATATATGTACTCGCAATTATTTTTTTCTTTTTTGTGTATGGTTGTTTCCCGGCGAGTAGCGGATATATCCGCCCGACTTTTTTTACTGATAAAATTGCATGTGCAAAACTGTATGCATGGTTATTAATATTTTTCAAACGTAGCGTTTCATGTTTTTTATTAAGCTTTGACGTAAGTTATGTATAGGCACCGACCAGTCACTAACTAGTTAATTCATGTTACAATTCCCAAACGTTGTTGACTTGCATAAGTTATAGAATGATTATATAAGTTATAGAATATTAAAATAACTTTGTACTTTGTGTTTGGTCGTGTCCGCTTTAATATAAAGAAAATACTTTTCTTAGTATTTTTTATATATTCAATTTGAGGAAACTTTTCACAAATATTAATAATCAATACTTTTATACATAATTTATAATAAAAATGTCGACTAAAAAATAAACGTTCTTGGAGTTAATGGAATTTGTCAAAGACCGTATATCTCTTTATAGTCATAGTATTTCAGTTTTTTTTAATCTACAATAGTCACAGTATTTCTTAATATACAAACGTACTTCATTATTCACAACATTAAACTCCATATAAGTAGAAGAACTCACGCATAAGTAACAAGAAACAAAAAAAAACTTCAGAACAGTAAAAAGTAGAACGGATATACTAAATAATAGCATAAAAATGATATAGAAGAGATGAAAACTAGATTATGTAAATGGAAACTAGAAGTATTATTCAAAAAGTAAGAAAGTTGAAGCAGCTCATTCTTAGTACCAGTACCAGGGATTCCCAGGAAATACTGCAGATAATTTACAATTATTTTATAAATTCTTATACGTTATACTCAAAATAACTAATCAAAGAAGGATTATTTCCTTGCTGTTTTATTTTATAAAATCAATAAGGACTTATAAAACGTTAGCATCAAAACTGAGAAAACTACAAGATTGAGGTAATTAGATTCACCAAAATCGCGGACTGTTTGAACCCGGAATAGTCGAGGACTTTGAAACCGCATATTAAAAACTGCACAATGAGACTTGCACGTATCAAGTGAAGAAAATTTCAAAGACATTTTCAAACAGGACCATAGTGAATTTGAATTAATAAAATCCGGACTATGCGAGTTATTGTTGCAATTGCATTTGTTGTAGCTTTTGTCGATTATAACAAAAAAGTTATTATAACAAAGTTTACTTGTTTTAATTAAAGTGAAGTATTTTTTTCATTTATACATTTTAATTTCATTTATTTACGAATTTAATTATTTGTTATCTAATAACAAAAAATGTTTATTTATTGATATATCGCCGAAAACAACGATTTCATCAAAATTCATGAAAAATTAATGTATTTTTCTCAGAAATGGTATTCATTATTATCAGTTTTTAATAAAAATAAGAGTAATTGTCATCTATTAATATTTAAAAAAAAAAGACTTTTATACATTTTTTTCTTTAAAGATTTCTTCAGAAATCATCATTATCTATTAGGTATACTAGGCACAGTGCATAGGGCCCACATGAATTTTGAGGGTCCATGAAATATTTTGTTCTCTTTCAATACACTCATGTTTATTTTATAATGGATTGAAGAATAGATTGTAAAGCAAAAAATTAGATCAATAAAAGTTTTCTAAACTTAACTTTAGTTTTATTATACAATTATGTAAAATGAAAAAGCAACTTTGTTACATAAATGAAACAAAGCTTATAGTTTTGGCTATGTTTGTAAACTGTATTACATTTTAGGCGAGATGAAAATTGCTTTCCCATTGTTTCCCTTTTAACTCTCTCTCTCTCTCTTTTTTTTTCATTATACTCAGTTCCCTTTTTGTGTTCCAATTTACTTTTACTTTGTAACCCATAAACACGAACGAATAACGCGCCGAGAACTATAGAATAGAAGCAAAAAAAGTATGCGCAAACAAAGCTGTCCAAATGTCCGCTTTTCCTCTCAGAAAAATTCATCAAATGTCGGTCCCTTTTATTTCGCACAATAAATAGTATTTGCGGAATTGACGGACAATAGGGGAGATATGCCAATAATTCAATCGTTTGTACGTTCTATATATTATTATACAGCGGAAAAGTCGAATTTGCGCAAAAAATAGATTGATGTGCGCATCGTAATTGGAAAATTTGTTTGGATGCAATCACATCATTTACCCATTTCATTGCAACGTAAATTTAATTTATTTTAGTTGATTGTAAATTCACACGATTTTCTATAAATGACAATTAATATGGAACAAATAGTAGTAACAAATTATTGGTAAAATTGTTTTGCATATTTGAATGAATGTTAATAATTGATGGTTTTAAATATAATAGATTTTAATTTTCATCTAATTTAATAATTGTTCAATTCTATTAAATGTTTTAAATTAATTATAGATAAATCTACATATAATTCATTATTTCGTAATGTTTTTTTGGCTCTTTATTTATTTAATACTGAAGTTTTATAAATATTTCCTGTACTTAATACTTACGTAATACTTTAATAATAATACCGAAGTTTCAGATTTTTCAGGCAAATGTAATTTAAATAGAGAGGAAAAGAACAAAAATAGTATGAAAAAATATTTAATTGTAAACTGTACGTGAGTTAATGAAAAATGCAAGGATTTATCTAACACGTCTCGAAAACAAACATTAAACTCTCGAACAATTAATATCATGTATCATTTATTTTATTTACTTTGTTTATTCATAATAAAAATATTTTTTATTACTACAATAAAAAAAACAAAATCAAACATTTTTATACAATATTAACAATGATAAAACAAAATTTAACTGCCGCAAAGGGTTATTGGCCATATCACTTTTTGCTTGATCAATTCTTATTAAATATAATAAATTAATGATGATTTCCTTTTGATGTCTTTATAATAAACTTTACTTACTGTATACTTAATTGTGATGATCAAAAGAAGTTTCAATGCTTGGTAAGTATTAAAAAGTTCTTAGAACAGGGGAACTTTCTAGAACTTTTTTTACCCCAAAATATAATTATTTGCGCTGAAATTACCCTACTTGATTTAAAGGCAATAGCGCAATTTGGATTTGGGATACAATTGATTTCCCTGCTGTGTTTTTATGTCTATTAGAGTAGAAAATCATTGTTTTCTATTTACCCCGGTTCGCCCACCACTAAACTAGAATATGCACCAAACCATGTGTTAATAGAAGTTTTAAATCTTTTTTATTTATTTATCTTATAAGATTAATTTTGCGTGACTACAACTTTAATTAGAACAAATATATTGGATCAGTGATTCAAAGAATCAAATTATTCAATCAATTATCAACTGTATCAATAAAAGAATCAACAAATCAGAATTACTTGCTGAATTCTTGAAGTTGTAACTGTGTAAATTTTAAAGTGGGAGAAAATTAAGTGATTGATGCATATCCTCTTCGATTATCAAGAGCGCTGGAAGTGGTGATTCAACCATGAAGGAAAACGGTTGAGAGTTCTCGATGAGAGTCGATAATTAGCCTTGAATAAAGACAGTGGTTTGATTATGGAAGACAGTGATGTTGCTCTTAAGAAGAGCAGATAAAAACGTTTTGCTGTTTAGATGAGCTGAAGAAACGTGCGTTCTTGAGGAGAGCAGGAAAGAGAAGTACTAGTTCTTCCAGAATATTCCTACGTCTGAGACCTGATGCTTTGGCGGTCGTTGAAGATATGAGAATGACGAGTTAGAAAGTATTGATTTTTTATCAGAAGAAGAAAATATATCAAACAATAAATTCAAAATTCAATTTGCACTATTGAAGGCAACGGCGGGGCGGTCTAGATATTCACAATTCTTCTCATTAGCTTAAAGTGTCGAACTTAATTTCGCGAGTGAATTGAACCGTAGCGGAAGTCCAACGTATTTTATGACACTATAAATAATAAATAGGGTTTTCGTGTGGGAGGTTTTAGTGTATGCAAACAATTTCTACTCCATCGGTTCGGATTTATCGCGACCACGGATTTATAGTGCGGACCATTCATAATTCAATGAGACACTTATTATGTAATGCACATACACACAAACTCATGCGGATCGGAGCGGCCGTTTCGCGCATTTGCATTCAATAAAAACAGGTCCAGGTTAATTCTCGTTGTTTCAGCTGTAAATGCACGTTCGTTTCTCTGTGCTAATGAAAACAACCGTCCGTGTACACACCAATTATATACAAATTTATTACTTCGAACTTTGGTTACAAACGAACTAGAAAATATCATTACAAACATAAACATAATTAAACGTACAATAATGAACGAAATACATAAACGAGACAATAAATACACTTGTTTGCGTCTCTCTGTTCCTATTTCTTGTTGTTTCTTTGTTTCACATTTTAAAGTTTCGAATCGAGGATAAAAAAATGTAACTGTTTGGCTATCGTTTATTCATACATTGATTATTAACAAACTCTGTACTTTTATGACTAGTCATGATGATAATTGAATCCATGTTGAATACTATTTCAAATTCAGTAATTTACAAGTTTATTGTAGAACTAGTTTATAGCTTAACACTTTATTTTGGCTTAGAGATTCATGATTTACCAGTACCTATGATAACTCTATAAGATATAATATAAAAATATCATTTTTATTCAACTTTTCACATATTCTAGTATTACTTGAATAGTTTGTAAATTATTTTTTAACTTTCTCCCTATTTTTAAATTCTTTTTAGTTTTTAGTACATTGAATTGTATCTAAAATAAAATATTTACTATTGCCTTTCTTCACGTTTTTGATAGGTCTATAAATATAAACTGATATGGTTTATTAAATAGTAAAAATGAGACATAGTAAATCAATTTTATGACAATAAACCATTGCTATTATCATCACTGAATATAACTTTTTTTTAAATTTTTATAAGAAAAGTATAGCTTCGGTCATCATCATCAATTATATTAATTGTTTTATCACACTATCATCTGCATTTCAGTAAAAATATAATTTGATATCCAAAACATATATTAATATTAATGAAATTATCTTAGTTTTTTTCTTTTGTTTTACTTCAGTTTTACTGTAGAAAACTTTGAAATAACCATTTTTTATTATTATGTTTTGTAGTAGAATGAAACTTTTCTTTTCGTTGTTTCCTTAACTTCGACAAAAAAATAAACTTTACTAAGTAGAAACAATCGAAAATTCAGTTTCTTTTTATACCAGAAAACTGAATTTCTTTCATGATTTAATGATATTTTTATGTTATTAAAAAAAAGTGATATAGACTTAATAAATATATATTTTTTTTTATAATAATAACAACGAAATTTATTGCACATCAATATCAAAGTAGAAAGGACTAGTCTATATATAAAATTAATTTACGAATTAAAATTTCCATTGGAGTGATGCGTTTTTATGTATTTAAGTAATATCTTGGACATTTTTTTTGTTAATAAATCACTTTGAATTCACATGAGATTTTATAGATTTCAGACTTAACAAAAATGATGTTGCTTCAAAAAAAATCTTGATGATTGATGGTACTTGAAACTAGTCATTAATCATGAATATATCATTAAAATACGTATAGTTTTTTTTGCTAATTCACAGATACTTCTTCGATCCTCGAAACGAAAACTTTATTTAGTTTTGCTTCTTGCTGATGAAGGAATCATCCCGGAAAGAGTTCATAATTTCTCATCGCTGAGGTTCAGCATATTGTAGTAGGAATGATCGGGAAATCGCTCCAACTCGATGTAATCGGTTTCGGTCATGATCAGCTTTTCTAGTAACTCTATGCACTCGGCGAAAGTGGGCCTCTGCTTCGGATCTTTATCCCAGCAGTAATACATGATGTTGTACAACTCCCTCCGGCAGTGCTCAGGTTTATCCAAACGATGTCCATCACGAACCTGAAACAACGTAATTTTTAAAAATAAAAAGGAAAATTGTAACAAGAGCACGAATATTCCAAGTTCTAATGTAATTATACATGTAATTGCATTAAGGGAAGCAGTGCTTTCGTAATCACAAAAGGCAGCTGCTGTTTCCCTGTTTTTTTTATAACCGCTTTTTTCTTTCCATTCTTTGTTTTATTCCGGACTTTAGAAACATTTCAATTAAAGCGTTCACCTTTCAGGGAAGACCAAAGTTACCTAAAAATAGAAAAGTTTAGGGTGTATTCCGAGTTTAGAGTAGATCCAGAGGCGGATTTAGGTATGGACTTTATGGACTTCCGGTAAACAAAATAGGACATAAAAACAGTGTTACTTGAGGTCCCTCAAACAATGTTAGTTGAGGGCCCCAAATCTATGGTAGCCTTGGGTCCCCAAATAGTGTTAGCCCAAGCCCTCAAAAGTTATCGGTCCGCTCCTGAGTAGATCTATATTTAGAATTCCAGGTTTTGTCTCCTTTTAATAAAAATCATGGAAATCGGAATTCGGAGTATCGCATAAAGGTATGTTGCATTCAATTCGTGGAAAGTATATGAAACAACAGATATTAATTTATTTTCAGAAATAACTCCGTCTACAAAGTTGCGTGATATTTGCAGCATTTTTCTCAGTATTTCTAGTTTCCAGCATCGATCCGATAGAGCTTCGAAATAGGACACGGATATAATATTTAGTGAAGTTTGCTCATCCCATTATTCATTAACAAATGGTTATTACTAGCAAGAGGCTAGTATTTCTTCCAATCCAATTCATCCTAAGCGAATAATATTGTTAGGGAGATGATAAAAAAAACGAAAGTTATGTTACAATCATCTACCATTAAACTACTGCAAGATGAATGCGTATTTTTTAAGCTGTTCTTCTAGGCCAATGTTTCATAAATATTTCACTATTTCGATCTTTAAATGTAGATCCGATTTCCTAATAACGAATGTTATTATTAGGAAATCAGAACATATAAAAAGTTTTTTCATGTTATCTCGCCAGATTTATTGCATTTCTTTTTCATCCACTAATCTTTTTTTTCTCATCGTCTTGAAATACTATCTAAGAAATCGATGGACGCTTTAGCTTCCTAAACTGAATTTCATCAATGTAATAGATTATTTTCCATCCATCATTACGGATATACTTATAATATAGCCTTTTATATGAAGACTAACAAGTTAAGAATGTAATTGAGTATTTTTATATTTGAATCATGGCATTATTTATAACTTGAGAATAATTAACTCATTTAATGCGAAAAAAAAAAAATATTTTGTAATAATTAAAAGTTTTCATCTCCAAATCCAATGTTTCATAAATATTTCACTATTTCGATCTTTAAATGTAAGTTCATTATAGTACGGTTTGAAATTCATTAATTAATATGGTTTCAAACTGTGCGGGATATTGAAGAAACCGATTATCTGGACTGAGCGAGTTATTGTTGTATTTCAAAATTATTTTAAAGTTTCCAAATGTTTCAAGTTGTAGAAAATTATATTTAATTATTTATTTTTTATATTTGAATATTTCCACGTTTAGATCAACATATTTTGTACTATTATAAATTACAATTGAATATGATAATTCATTTATCATCTGGAAACCGTAGCAGTTTTACCTGACAGAAAATTAATTAATTTCATATTTCTATATGTGTAATTACTATATAAATCTTATAGTTTAATCCAATTAGGAAAATTGATCTATCTGTTTACAAATTAGTAGTTTATTGGAACTACGCCCCATTATAACTTCCATTGAATATTTATGTTCATTCAGAACACATTTCGTGCACTAATTATCCTGGATAATCATTATATATTTCGAGATTACGTTCTATTTGCTATTTGGAGAGTTGCTCGATTAAACTTTATCCGGCGGAAGGAGGATACGACACTGTAAATACAAAACGTAATGTATTTCCGGTTTCCGTTTGTCATACTGTTTATGTTGCGAAATAAAAGTAAATACTACAATTTTTGTAAGAATAATCATCTCTTCGTCTTCTAAATATTGATTTTGTATACAAAGAGCACACAAAGCTCTCGACTGATCGTTAAAAAAACGATACATGCGATACTGGATTTCTGATAAATTTTTAACGGACTCTAAAAGTACATTTATGGACGTTAGGGGAAACATCATATAGTGGAAGATGTATATAAATGTGAAAACGATGTTCTTAAAGTAAATTTAATAAAAACGAAATATCTTTTATATCAGAATTGATCGTTTCGTGTAAACAGTTAAAGAAAATAAACTCTTTATATATTTTGAATATTATATGGATTTGAAACTAGATTATCTAACGCCTCTGTTCACGAACAAGTCGGTTCCCGAACATAAATCTAATAGAATTAATGGCTTGGTTTCATAACATGCAAACTAAGTAAGTTAACTGCAATGCACGCCCAAGATACAAATGTATTCCAGAGTTTTTAAAAGTACATATGTGGGCGTATTTTCAGACTAGACCTCATGTAACTTTAGTTCAAATTGTGTTTATTACCGCAGCCCTCAAATATGTGAAGATGAAGAATTAAAGCAGACGCTAATATTAAGCAGGGCGTCTTATCCATTAGTCATAATGCCTAGGGCCCACGAGTTTTTTTTGGGCCCACGAGACATTTTGGGACCCACATGATTTTTTTTACTTGTAAAGTCTTATGTTTTCTGGAATCCACAAAAATTTTCGAGGTTTATGAAAGAAAAATATTTAAATTAGAATTTAAGAATACATATTTTGTTATCTCGATGTTTGACCAAACCTACCACTCTCTTAACCTATCATTATCTACTTGATTAGTGCCTAGGGTCCACAACAATCTTAATGCGAATTTGCTAATAATGACAATGATTTGGACTCGGAATTATACACCCAGTATTAAAAGAAACGATGGAACAACTCTGGAAATTTTTAACTAATTGTGTAATTACTGTGGGATACATATGTATCCCACGCGATCTCCAACTTAACAAATTCAGTCGTGAAAGTGGATGGTTAAATCTTTGTTTATATGAAGTAACTTTATTGTTTTTTTGCAATAAATCTCAAAATTTTCATTCTTTCAATTAACTTTATATTCTTATTTTCTGAAACCTATCCATATTTGATTACAAACAAACTTTTCCATATAAACAAACATATACAAATTCAAAGAATTAACTAAATTATGATTAGAGTTTCATAAACTATGTTCCGCGGAAAGTTAACCTATTCTATTGATTATATGTTATTTCATACTCTACAAAATACACAAGGTTATCACTGAAAATTTCAGGATTTATGAAGTGTTCCATTGCAGGAAAAGTTTGAGAAACTCTGATTATGATAGTAATAAAAAAAAATTATGTACGTGCACAGAAAGTAAAAAAAAAACTATGTAACAACATCACGAATATTCCAGGTTCAAATGTAATTATACATGAAATTGCATTAAGCTCAGAGGAAAACAATGCTTTCATTTACTTTTATATTATTTTTTTTACAACATCTTTTTTTGACTGATGATTGTTCAAATTAATTCGTTTCAATTTGCTTTCGTGTTGTAATTGCTCAATTATAGTAATACCTCTACATTGAATACGTACGCAGTTTTTATTTGCGTTATATTTATGAACGTCTAAAGGTTATAAATGATTACTTATTATAGACACCATTAATTATGTCAACTTTATGAGATTGTTACCGGTACTTAGTCAATTATATTATTTTATTTCTGTCAATTTATATTCGCTGTCACCTCCGCAATTACTGATATATGAAATAAAAAGAAGAGTACAGTTTAACCTCGCTTAACGAGCACCTCACATAACCAGAATTTTACATTACATTAGTTTATATGGGGAAAATTGCTTCCGGAAATTATGTTTGTTAAGCGAGGTGCCATTGTATTTAAAATTAATTATATAGTATTTCCTTATATTAGAATTCTCTAATTTTACTGTTTTTCAATGGAAGTTTTATAAAAGCTTTGTTAATAACGAATATAAAGAAAATGAAGACGAAATTAAAGAAGTCAACCAAATAAGCCAACTTATAAAACTTTGTTCTGTGTTTAACATATAAATAATTTTCATTTACATTATGAAGGAACTTATCCTCGTTATGGACATAATATGTTAACAAGTTAAAACGAAGTTTTGTTTAACGAAGTAATTTCGTTAATTGCAACCTATTCGTTAATCGAGGTGTGACAATATCCGTTTCTAAGATTATTACTTCTTAAGTTTAGATAATAGTAATAATAATATTCATAAAATTGTTGTACTAAGAAAAAAAATCGTCTTTATGATAAAAAAAAATGATGGAAATATTAACACTGTACTATGAGGATTATAAAAACTATGAGAATTACTGGAATATTAGCTGTTATATTCATTAAATTATAACAACTTCTTATAAACCTTAAGATATAAATTGTACAATATCAAATATGAGTTTCATAGTTTAATTTTATATTATTTTGATGTTGAAATATGTACTTTTTTTTCTGCTTTGGAAATATATGTAGATTTTACTGATTAATATTAAAATTTTATAATATTATTATTTTTTAATTAAATCAATTTCAGTAATCTTTCCTAAGTGATTTAAATCCTTTATATCTTTGTAAATGCATTGCAAATTCTACATCAAATGTGTCCATAAAGTTTATGAAAAGCATGGAAATGGAACATTCAGAAAGGAGTATTTATCAGTAAAAAAAACACCTTGCAAATAAATGCGAAAAAAGAGGGTTGTTAAAAGTATAGATTTCACACAAACGGATTTTTCTCCCAACATTTGGATTTCCCCGGAGTTTCGTGACGATTCCATCAGTCGAATTATATTTTATCTGATCTTGTGTACATACAATTATTTTACTAATTACTTCCTCCGTTAATTATTTTCTTTCTACATAGAAAAATTATCAGTGAGGGATCAATTTATTTAAGCGTTAATTAAATTTCTTTGTTTTTAGAATTGATTGTTGTTGTTTCTTATGTAATCATGAACATGTTGATGTTTGTGACTTTACTGTTGATGGTGGTAATGTACATGGATTAGTAGAGTTCAGTTTGTGGACGGTATTTTCGACATGCGCTTAATTGAATTTCAATTATCCGGAGGCTCCGGAGGTTCTTGTGCAAAGGAGATGCCCACGGTAGTTCCGATGGGATAACAGATTAACTGTCGGTTAGCAGAATCCCACGTGAATTATCCCAATTATCTCACTCATGGAAATACACCTCTAATTGCAGTAGCAAAAATCTCTTAAATCAACATTAATTATGAATACGTAAAACCACAGAAAAAAAAACATCGATGAATATTGATTTTTTCGGTGTTACTTCAATAAAATTACGTCATTATTATTTATATTGTGAATGTGTGGTTTATCTGAACTTATAAATATTCGCATCAATTATTATTCTCATCTTGTAGAACTTTAGAAAAACTGATTTCTTAAACATTATGAATTTCGACTAATTATTGTCTTCAATTATTTTTAATCATGTTTACTTCATAGTAAAGTTTCAAAATACATAATTTTCTTATATAAACAATTTTACAGATTGTTTCATTAAAATTATCAAGATTTTATAATTATATTCATCAAATGGTTAATATAATATGTAATAATTAGTTGTAATACATTGAATATTTCATGAAATTCACCAAAATATAATCTTTTTTTTTTTTGTACATGTATTTTAATACTTTGTATTTTAAATGTATTTTAATTAATTTAGTTACCTTAATTGTATAATTAACTAATTAAAATATGCAGTTTTAGCATAAAATTCATTATAAAAGCAATTAGTTTTTGTCTAATAATTTCTAATTATTCTAATTCATTATCACATACTGACTTCAAGTACGAAAATTGAGATATTTATATTACAACTATATTTATATTTGTTTGTATCTATTACAAATTTCCTGTAAATTATGATCAACATATGAAAAAACGTTTCACAAATCAGCAATTTTATCGATTACCCAACACAATTATCAATGATACCTCGATTTAAAGACAAATATTTAGATTTTCAAACATATCAACTGTAATATTTGTAACTGTTACAAGTTTAATGTAATTTTGAATCAAAGTTGAAAAACGTTTTTTTCTACGCTATGAAAATCGAGCGACTTCACAAATCATCATTTCACACAACACAATTATCAATGAGAATTTAATTTTATTTCAATTGCTAATTGTTTTAATTAATTACTTGAAATATATTATATTGATATGATTATTATTGAAGTAATTTTAGTAAAATAAATGTAATTAATTTTCATGTCATTATTCACAGAGTCACAAACAATAATAATATTGTAAATTTGAAACAACTTAATTGGCGTTAATTAATTGTGTGTTGCTTAATGTTAATTAAGTTGTTAATTTCTGAAAGATGAATCCTATAAAAAATCATATAAAATTTACATAATTTTGAATTAATGAAGAAATAAACTTCAATTAAATTATTACTAACAATAAAAACTTCCGTTAATTTGTATTACAAAAAATCTGATAAATCAACATAATTTATTAATGAATATAACCGCAAGCCAACAAAGATCAATTTTGATTTAATGGAAATTTGTAAAATAACGTCATTTTGATGAATAGTCAATACTTTCAATTGTTAAATATTTTTTTATGGAGATAAAACCTGAAATAAAAATACGTTTTACAAAGTTCTTAAGAATAACCACAATATTTTATAATCAATCATTATGCAATTTCTTAAAGTTTATATATGAGCTCATACGAGTTTAATATTCAATAAAATTAAATCATTTCAGAAAATATCGATATTTGTTAAGTTTTTTTCAAGGTTATTGCTTATTTTTCATCTGCGAAATTTCTGTTTAAATAGAGTTTATATTTGAACTGATACGAGTTTAATCTTCAATTAAATTAAATCTTATAAGAAAATATGTATATATAATATAGAGTTACAGGTAGTTTAGTTCTTTTTCAAGGTAATTTCTTATCTTTGAAACGTTTTGATAATTGTGAATTTTCTTCTTTAACAGAGTTTATATTTGAACTGATACGAGTTCAATCTTCAATTAATTCTAATAAGAAAATATTTATTATACTGTTAAAGGCAGTTCAGATCTTTTTCAAGGTACAAGTTTATTTCCTTTATTTACAAACGTATTGATTATTGATTTCAGTCTATTTTTTTGTTGTTGTTCAATCAATGAAGTGGGTTCATTTAAAGCTTTACCGTATTTTCGTGTAAGGGAAAAACCCTTTTCTTTTGCTCGTATGTGTTTTACCTTTCGCATGACTTCGGCCGCTGATAAACCGGGATAAGGAGTGCTGCCCAGCGTGACTATCTCCCAAATCAATACGCCGAAGCTCCAGACGTCGGATTTTGTGGAGAAAATGTTATCATACAGAGATTCCGGTGCCATCCATCTGATAGGAAGCCGGCCTTCGCTCTTCCTCTCGTAAACATGAGAGTCTATCACGTCTCGCGCGAATCCGAAATCCGCCACTTTGCAAGTATGCTCATCGTTGATGAGCACATTCCTAGCGGCCAAATCCCTGTGGATAATCTGCAAAAAATAAGAGATAGAGAATATAAATTGCCTAAAGCAGATGATCTCTTCCACTTACGCCTTTCGTTGAAAGAAACTCCATGCCCTTGGCCACTTGATAAGCGAAGGACGTCAAATCTCTGCTGGTCAATGATTTACTTTGACCGTGCATATTGTTGTAGTACCTCTCAGCTCTTGAATTCCTCAGGTAACTCTGAAGTTTACCTTTGCTCACGAACTCCATGACCACAAAAATAGGATCCTTGTCGGTGCAAGCTCCCAATAACCTTACTACATTTGGATGAGGTTCGAGCATCTTCATGACCTGCAGCTCTGACACCAAATCGGAACGTTCCTTCTCTGTAGCATTCTCTTTTAGAGTTTTCACCGCAACCACAGATAAACCATCTTTTTCTGCACAAAAAAAGGTTTTATTTTTATATTAAACATCAGTCATGAAAAGAGAACAGATGTAAATAGAAAACGTGACGGTTCTAAGGAGATTGTATTTGCTATTATTAGAAAGTTGTTGAGAGCAACTTAAATTGAACTTTCTGAAGAGCAACGGTAAAGAGAAATTAGAGGGTGGCGAATGTTATATAATTTGAGGTATTGAAGCTTCGTAACGAAATTATTCAAGGCTTTATATGAAAAGAATGAAAAAAAGGAAGTCGTTTGTGAAACTTTTAAAATATACTAGGTAAAAAATGGGCAAGGATAATGGAACAATTTAAATACATTGAGATGGAATGCCTTCGGGGTTTGCACATGAATTTAAAGTGATATACTCAAGTGCATATGTAAAACACACGAAAAATGAAAAAGTACACTTGAAGAAAACAATTGTGAAAGTAAGTTTTCAGACAAATTAAACTTCTTTATGTTCACATTACTTTAATTTAATAGAGAAGATATTTGCTCTTTTACCAATTAATTATCAGACTAAATGAAATGAATTAGTTTATACTAATAAAATATTAATAATAAAGAAATTTCAATTGAGTTTTTTTAAGAAAATTATTATGATGAATTGTATGAGAAAGAGAAAATTGAATCGAGTCAAGCGTGAAAATACAATTTCAAATGTCTCCAACGTTAGGAGAAATGAGGAATAAAATATTTTATTTATAAGTTTTCTAAAATATGTGTATATAACATATAATAAATTAAATTATGTAATGAAATATTAATTACTGTTTTTTTTAGAAATTTATTTAATTACATAATACATTTAACTGACTTAGTTAATTAGCTAATGAAATATTATTAGAAGAAAAAAATATGCAACATTGATTTTTATAAGAACACAATTAACTATCATTAATTGTATGAGAAAAGGAAAATTGAAACGTTTTAACCGAGAATGACAATTTTCAATGTCTTTGACATTAGGAGAAATGACTACAGTTTTTTTAAACCAATTCATTACTTTTTTTCTAAAAAATAATAAGATATTATTAATAAAACGAGAGAAATTTCAACATTGAGTTTTTGTAAGAAGTAATTCTCTTATAATGATGAATTGCACGAGAAAGAGAAAATTGAATTGAGTCAAGCGAGAAAATATAATTTCAAATGTCACCAACATTAGAAAAACGTTTAAAGAATATTAAAAAAGTTTCATATTTTCATTGGAATTTTTGTAATTAGCAAAATTAAAAAATTGGATTGTTATAATACTTTTATTACAAAATAATTTTTTATTATATTTAAATTTTATTACTAAAATTTTGATAAAAATATTTTCATAATTATATTTTTTTTGTTATGTTCTCATATGTGACTTGTGAAAATATGCAATTACATTAAATAACAAATTTTGAATACGTGTCGTTCTTTATAAAATATAAAAATTTGCGGCTCTCTTTAGCCTCATGTGTGTCCACCCCAGACACATTCATTTGACTAGTAAAAAGAATAATTGTAACACAACGTGCGGCTATCTAGACTTTCTGACAGGCTCTTTGCTCCAGAAAAGTTGCCGACCGCTTCTATATTTGATCATGTATAAAAAAACTACTAAACTATGTAACAAATATGTTATTATATATAAAGAACCATTCGAATAAAGATTTTAAGTATACAAAATTAACGAATATGCATAAAAACTTGAATAAATTCATAATTTTGATTAACAAGTTTTACTGATATGTATTCTTCAATTTCTGTATAACAATCCATGCGTATTTTTTTATTCCATACTTTCTTGTCCACAATTATGGAATTTTCCAATCAATTTTGTTGTTAATTTTATAGTGAAAAATAAAGTAAGTAAGAAATGAAGTTTGAATTAAATAATTGAAATTGTATTAAATAATGATCAAAGTATAAATGAATCTAATTGACTGATGATATTTCTTTTTGATATTATATAAATTTTGTCAAGTGTATTAATAGATAAGATAATTAATGGAAAGTTGGAAGGAGGAATTGTTGAGAATCCAGAGTTCAAATAGTTTACCGTCAATGTCGAGTGCCTCGCATTTCCAAACTTGTCCGAAGGCGCCTTCGCCCAAAATATTGAAGAACTTCAGACGGTGTCTCGGGAATTCCCAGCGATCGCTCTCTGTTGGCTCTGAATTCGTCTGATTTCCAGCCTGAATAACACAAATATATATATAAAATGATGATGGTGTGCACCTGTACGGCAATCAGAGTGGAAACAAGTAAATTCGAAAACAATAATTAATAGCAGATATGGATGCATCCATGTGTATTTTGCGTAGCATTTTCAGGTCATACATATTTTAGCAATTCGCCACGAACTTCCTATTAGAAAGTCAGCTGAGGTTCATTCACATCACGTACTTTGATCGCGTCCTCTTCGAAAAACAATCGAAGGTCTCTGCATGCGTCAATGCTGCCTGTCTGCTATAGTCCTTTCATACTGTTTATATACTTTATACTACATTTAATTAGAATTGTTCATTTATTTCGTACCTGAGTTGTGTTCCCATTAGGATCCCTGTCCCATTGTTCGTAACGATTGCTAAACGCTCTCGGACCTCGCCATTGCTGCATCGCAAGGTCCTCTTGGATCACTATACCTCCTGAATCCTTTTTCTATAAAGAAAACAACGAAACGTGTTAAAAAAAATCACTAACTTTATATATATAGAACATTTTTTTTTCTATGGTTTACCCCAAGGAAATGTACTTGGACATCAACAATATGAATTTTTTTAAATGTAATATGTCCAAGAAATAAAACATATAAAAAGTATTATAGAAAATTGTTTTTATCTCAAAAATTTAAATTTGAGTTTAGAAAAGATTTGCAAATTAGTAATTCTTATTGTTTGCTTTATCGTATGTACTTTTTGCGTAAATGAAACTTGAAAACAATGGATTTCAACAGAAGACGTTATGAAACCAGTAGAATTTAGATTTAGGTGCATCCTTTATACGAAATTCGATTGAAAAGTGAACCTTGAAACTGATATCTTACCATATCCTCTTTGCATTTCTTGGCCCGTGCTGCGCAGAGCTTCTTTCGGAATACCAGAGCCACGGATCCAACAATGACGAAGATGATGCAAACTGAGACGACTGGAACAAGCGTGACAGCCAAATCTGGTACAGACTTCAGAGGTCTATCAACAGGTATCAACTCGTTATCCGAATCGGTCTCATTCAAAGGTATAACTTGAGGAAAACTGGTGGTTTCGACTCGTGGAGTACTCGTCTGCAATCCGACAGGCACTAAATGAGTGCTGTTCTTCGACACCACCGGCTCCGGATAAGTCTTCTCCTGGAAATGAGGCACCTGACCTGGAGATGGTCGAGGTGGGAACGTCGGTATCTGAGAAGTGGGTGGATTAAAACCAGGTGGATAGGGCAGGAAACCTGGTGGATGAATCTTGCTACGGTTTGTAGGTTGCGAAGAATCTTTCACAATCCTCGCAAATACTTCAGATTTGGCTCCAAGATGACCGTCGGATACTTTCACGTACAAATTGATATCTTTTCCGGCCTACAATGATTTATTTTTTAAATATTTCTCTCAAATTGAACTTTTTTAAAAATATAAATTACCTTTCCCTTCAAAGACTCGTTTAAATATACAACACCGCTTTTGGCGTCGATCGTGAAGGGTATATGTTCTCCCTGATATTTGGGTTCGATGTCGTAGGTCAATTGGTCTCCTTCGTTATCCTCGGCGCGGATTCGAATGATCACCGATCCGACACTTTCGGTTTCCTCGATCGTCCAAAGACGGTTGAATGACATCGAGGGCGGACTGTTCAGTTGACATCTCACTATAACAGAAAAAAAAACAACAATCAGATATGCAATACTTCATTTAGTATCGGTAATCGGTTCCGCTAATATCAAATACTATTTATTTTTTTAATATTTTGTATAGTTTCTTTTTAGAATTTATTTTTCTCAATAGTTTGTTTTGAAATATTTAAATCCGCACTGTTAACACTTTTTTTTTCGAATTTATTACATAACACCAATAAAAGTTATTAAAATGTTTTTGCTCTATTTTAATTTATAATTAACTTTGAATATATTCTTAATTTTTAAAACAGTAATCACATAGAATTAAGGACTAAGTTTGGTGACCCGACATTAGCGCGCAGGTTAAAAGCGCACCAACATTCAGTAACAAATGCGCTCAGTAAACTTCCACGAATACATAGTAAATCAATACCTCGCATAGGGTAATCGATTCAGCCAATATACCGGATTGTTTGAAACCGAACTAATCGAGGAATCGAGAATACAAAAATAAATGGCACAAAAAGAATCTTAACAGTTTAAACAAACCAAACCCGCAGATTTTGCTGTAATGTATTTAATTTGACTTTTTTGTACTTTTGACTATATTGTAAATACTTTACAAATACAATTTCAATAATGTTTAATTTATAATTTTACTGACTAATTTTAGTATAAATTGAACTTTTTAAATTATATTTTTGAAACTTACATAAAAGGACAATTATTTTTCATTATTTTTTTCTTTTGAATCATTTGTAATATTGTTGATTTTTAATATTTTGAAGATGAAAATAGGGAAAGGCAATATACATATATTGTAAAATGACTTTTGCTTTGTCGACAACGAAGATTTATGTTTGGATACAACGAGTTGGGTCGCGCAAGGTGCAAGAAATTTCACTCGAAACGCTTTTATTATCCGTTCCACTTTCACCTAAAGGTCAACAGTACTTCGCGTGGCGGGACATCCCAAGAAATCGCGTCCCACATCCTTGATTACAACACATGTTTCTTCCTCCAATGATGGAAACCGAGTCGACAATTATCCTTACCAGAGTCGAAGACTGAGAAAGTCGGATTTCGTCTCCACTTTTCTCCACAACTTGTAAGAATGCATAACTTATGGAAATAACTTACTCGAACAATAAAGGAATAAAAAAAGAGTGGTTTGTTGGTTTAATTCCAAAGATATTCCCGTCGAGAGGTTTACCAAAGTTGTCGTAACTTTTGGTTTACCGAGGATCGGTAAATACGGCGAATAAAAGTGATATTTTGTAAAGTTTCCAACAGAACACGGTTCATCGTCATCTGCTTGGAATGCAGTTCTAAGAAGGATATTTGCATGTTCTCGAAAAAGTTCCATTACGTAAAATTCGCTGTATATTTTACTTAGGTTGATAATGTTTAATAGTCAAAAACAATCATTAAAGTCTCATTAATTTTAAATTATATTGTAAAATATCGTATTCCAATTATTTTAATTTATGATTTGTTTTTATTTAGTTTTAGTATAGTTTTATAATTAAGAAACAAATTAAAAATTTGCCATTGCACAAATGTTGATTTGACTATATTTTACAAAAAAAAACATGACAAAATTTTTTCTTGATAAATCATTAATACGTAACTATAGTAAAAAAAAGGAATTTTCACTCAAAATTTTGCTAAATACAAGAAATTTCCTAACAGTTGTTTATGAAAATAATTAATGAATAATTTGAAAAACTAATTAAAATTTAGATAAGCAAATATTTAAAGAAAAAATCAAATTGTTAAGTAATCATGTCAGTTCTTGAAATAAATGGATTTTTTGTATTAAGAAATGAGTAATCAATAAAATATCTAAATATAAATTAAATTTACATGTACTGACGTAACATATGAGACAGATTTCATATTTAATTATAATTTAAGAATAAATCAAAGTAAGTAATTGTATCTCATTATTTCAAACTTGTTGTGATATTGCTTTAAGTATGCTTATATGAATGTAACTCAAATAATAAATGAGTGAGCGAAAGCAACTTGTACGATGTTTATATGAAATCTCGTGTAAAGAGAGGCCATTTAGTCTTATGTTAGACAGAACGTGAGCAGACAGTGACAAGGATCATTGTACTCGTTGAATACATCTATTACTCGCACATGTCGCAGACTTTTCCATAACTACGTCTACATGTGCAAACTAAAAGAATAGACGAGAGGTTCCACCCGAAACATCATGGATTATGCATTTCCATTATGCGACGTCAATTCCAAAAATAAAATCGAGGATTAAAATTGAGCTGTTAACGAGGTTCGATCATCCTTCGCGCTCGATTAGCGGACAAAGAGCAGCTCTAAACACTTAAAAACTTCATTTCGTCGACGGTTTTCCAATAACTACACAGATGGGTTTTTAATTAGGGATTCGAGAGACATTAAATCTGAATTACCGGAGTCCTGTTTTCATTCTCTTCACATATCAATGCGGCAATTAGCTGTACAGCCTGTCCTATCCATCATAATCATCAGTATAAATACGAATATTTACATGCATTCGATTTATTCGCTAAGTCTCTAATTTATTTATTCTATAAATAGAAAGATATTACTCAAAATAATAAGCAGTAATGTATAAATAATAAGCAGTAATTAATAATTAGTTATAAATATATGACTAATATAATCAAAAAATATATAATTTTTTTATAGTTTTCAAGTTATTATGTGAAATTGAAAATGCAAAAAAATAATTAAAAATAATTGTTAAATATTATACATCAAATTTGAAAGCGTATTACATTCAAATAGGAAAAAAACACAAATCTGAAAGTTGATTCATTGGAAAGACCATAGTTTTATCTTTATTATTCAGATTTCACAATTTAATTAACATGTATGATTATCGAGTAAATAAGAAAAATATAAACGTAAAGAACAATGATAAATCCCTCATATTTTGGCCATTAAATAACATTACTTAAAATCAGCTACATCAAGAGACGCGTAATAGAAGATAAAATATATAAATATGTTCCAACTGGAAACTGGATACTGTCTCAAACTAATGTATAATTTCTCAAGTAAAATGCAGACATTTTGATGATTTTTTTTTACATTAGTCTATATATTCTTTCTATTATAATACCGAGGTACCATTGTATTAGAGTTTTCGAGTTATTCTGCAAAAATACTAAAACTTAGACAAGAATGGTCAAGCCAGGCCCTTTGTGATCCCTCTCGGAGCTTGGAGCAATAGGCCATCGTTCATCATACATGGACAGTGAAATGAATGAGGTT